GCTGTAGTGAATGAACTGACAACGTTGGTAGGATTGGTAAACAAAGACCACGCACTATATGTCTTCCAGGTGGTGGTTTTGATCATGCCTTTGGTAAGAGTTTAATCAGCAGGGGCTGGGGTCTGATTTGCCACTTACGGTTTGTGAGATCTTTTCATAACTTCCTTTGCAAATCTATAATTTAATTTGTCTGGATTGCTAAATGGAATGAATTGGCTGATTGTCTTCTTCGCAAGCATGTAGTCTAATTTGAGAGCGTGCAAGACTGTAAAACAGACCTGGGTGTAAGAGGAACCTCACCAGAAACAGGAGTGCAGAGTCACAGCTTTAAAAAAAATGTGAACAGAGCTTTTACCCAGTGTTTTACTCACTATTTCCAGGATGTGGTGGATAGTAATATTAATCCTAATAAGGCTGTTTAAGACAGATGCAGGGGCACTTCCCGTAGACTGCTAGCTAGGAAATATAATCTCCTAAGGAGTTCAATGGACATATGAAAATGATTCCTTTGACTTTGCTTTTAATATTCCAGTCTTAGAAATGAGTCACCTGTGGACAGCTGGTAACTGTGAAGACATCTGCACATGGTTTGGCACCTGGCTGATGGGGGGAAGATTGATTTCTCTGGACCAAAGGGGAGAGCAATTCTCATCAGCCTGGCTCATGGGTGATGACTTGTTCATATGGACAAATCCTGGCTATGTTATCCATACTGGAAATGACATTGAGCTTACTTAAATGAACAAAACAAACAGAATACATTGGTAGATGAGAGCAGGATTAATTGCTTTATGACTCAGGCCCAGGGTCTGCCAACTTTGAAAGAAATAGTAGTGTACATAGATTTATTTCAATTTGAGTAAAAGCACAGCATGGCCCAGTAGCTTCAGAGATGTAATATCTCCTTTTAAAGTCAGTTTAGTGTTTAACACCAAGAAGCTGGAAAATACCTAAAGACAATATGATATACAGACAAACTGATCAGGAGGTATTAAGCTATAATTTGCCTAAATTCCAAGGTGACATTTCAGTAGTGACCATGCTTCTGCAGGATGCAGGCACAACTGTTCAGGAAACCAAGCAGTTTATTTCAATTAAAAAACAAAGTAAAACTAAAACAGAAATATAGTACAAAGCTAACAGGTTTTGTAGTCTCTCCATTGGCTGTGGAAAACAGCCAATAAGCCAGTGATTAAAATATGAAGCTGTTTGGATGGAGAAAACATACAGTGTCAGCCTAGCAGAGCTAGGAACCCTCTAGTCCACAGCAGGAGGATGGCTCCCCTCTCTTTTTCTATTTTTCCAAGGGCAATACACACCAAGGGCCTAATTCAGTGGATTAAATCAGGCCCCAAATCTGTATTGTCCTTGCTGCAGAGATAAAACAAAATGGGAACTGGAAAGAATGAGAAAGCCATGAACTGGTTCTTAATTTTGAGCTTTCAAATGCTATATAGAAAAATGGAAAAGCACTGAATTAAAGTTGTTGTTTTCAACTTGGTCTGCCTCCAATACACAAGCGTATCATTGTATAAAGACCCGCAGACATACACAACGACTCTGACATTTAGTTCTCTCTTTTCTGAAATTTCAGGAATCCACCTCTGAGGGATTTCCTACCCACCCCATTTCTGGGCTAGTTGCCAGGACATTTAATGCAATCACTTTGCTAGGATTTTCAGTAGAAATAAGTAGTTCAATAGTTTTCATCTAATTTGAGGAAGGGGGATTATTTATTTCTAGATTTGTGGACTACATCTTTCAAAGTGATTTGCTTCCTCCCATTAATAAGAAAACTCTTTCTGTAACCTTTTGACCCCAGAGAATTTAGTGGAAAAAGTGAAATTACTTCTATGTGAATGTAACGTTATTCCACTTTTCCCCTCCCCCTCCTCTTCAATAAGCAGTACAAAAGCTGACACTTGCTTGAAATAATGGCACAGCAGCATTGATCCAAACTATACATTCGTTGTAAATACTAGGACAGATCCTCATCTAAGCTTCAGCGAAAAATCACCGATTTACCCAATGGAGTATCTGCTGCAGTAAAACCATCGGCATTGATCGGCTCTGACAGCTTCCCTCTTTCTTTTAGCTCCAGGTCTCCACTGTTATTATACTTTTCAGCATGTGGGAAGCCACAGAGTAGCTCACCATCTTGGCCTTGCTTTTGAGCCAAAATCAACACATGGAGCAGGGAGTTCGATAGGACAGTATAGCCACTCCAGACTGATAGCCAGAACATCTACTCTTGCTATTAAAGACCTATTGATCGGTCAACAGAAAGGCTGCTGCAGGCCAGCAGTGTGAGCTAACGTGTGTCTAGACTCCCATTTTTGCCTTAATAACACTCCCATGCTACTTTGTGATGTGCAACGCTTATGCAAAGACATTTCTTAAGAACTGCAGTGTGTGACTGAATCTTAGCAATTTAGGGCGAGAACAATCTATTCAGCTTCTACTGCTGTAAAAACGAATGGATAAAATGACTTTCACCTAGGAATCTCCGTTGGAGTCTCTCTCAAACTGTGGCCAACCACAGCTAATGCAACTTTTCTCCTTTAAAGTTGTTCACACAACTGTTTTGTTTCACCTTTCATAGCTGTACAATGAGGTAACTCACCAAAAAAAATTCATGTTCTATAAAAACACAGTGCATGTACTTGCTTCTCAGTCTGACATGCTGAATGGTGCTATTGTGTAAGAGATTTAGTGCAGCAAGCAGCAGGTGAGAGGCACTGCATTTATATTTTAATTAGTTCATGCCAGGAGTTTCTTCAGAGGTTACTTAATTACTATTTGTCCACCTACATTATTAAAACCTTATTCATGTCCTTCCTTTTCAAGGACTTTTTGTACTTCCTGAAAACTGTATTGCTAATATTGCATATAAATAACTATTCTGAAATAATCCCAAGTGATAATTTTATAAATTGGTTGAGCACCAATTGTAATTACAGAACTTTAGCAATAGATATTAAAAATTCTAGGAAATTATTATTTTAGGCACAAAAAAAGGTCCTCTGGATGTTGTCTGATTTCATAAATTTTCATCATTTGTGGGCTTCTTAAATACATTTGCAGCAATCGAGTTCTTTTCTGGAAATGAATTCTCAAAATGTCATGTACTGTGAAAAAAACCCTTACTGTTTTAATACCTTATTCCACATCACACTGATTATGCTAATAAGAATAAATATTTTTGCATAAATACATACATCTGATCTTTTTTCTATTTCTTCTTGAGAAGTTTCTTATTTCTGGAAGCATTAATATATGAAAGGAAAGTGACAACTCTGAAGTAAACCAGAGGCATGAGTACTTCTACTACCAACACGTGTAGATGCGTGTTGCACAGAACCTTCCCATAAGGCAATGAAATTGGAAAGTCTTCCTGGAAATTTGGTAATCTGGCAAAGGGCTTCTAATGTTTTTTCTGGTATTGATTTACTCACATTCATTTGCCAGTGCTAGGGAGATATAACCACCATGAGACTACTTAACACTTGATTGCTTATTTGCTCCTGCAGGATTAATGGACCTGCCAGTGCCAGTCTAGACCACGTTGACAGGTATATGAACAAAAGGAGGGATTCTTGTAGAAATAGATTTACTTTTGTGCAGCAAGACACTTATCAGAACAGACAGGCATACAATACTGAGGCATTTCCTGCTCCACACAATATACATTTTTCTACTGAAAAGAAGGTGGAACATTAATGTGATATTAATGTTATTACCTGTGGGTGTGAGCCCACAGCACTTTCACATTGGAGTAATCCCCACTCAAGCAGCCAGATTCACCAAAGCCAGCTAGGTTGCTTCACTAGGACCAAGTGCCTTGCAAGTAAAAATTCCCTTGTAAATTATTGTGTCCTTGCAATTCTGATTCACATGGGGAAAAAGAGTTTGCAAGATTTTGCTTTCATTTTACTGCCAAAAAAACCCTCAGTACTTTGGGTAATTTTTCCTGTTAGAGACTTACTACAGAGTTTCAAAGGCGATGGACTGAGAGCATGCTCTTTTCTCACTTTTAAATTGGAAAGCATACAGCTACAAATCCTGAAATGGATCTTTTAACACCTGAATAGTTTTCTAAATTAAAAATTATGGATTTCTGGCAAGCATCCTGCCCCAGTTTACTCACAACATATATTACCCCAGTGCCACCAATTGTGATTGTAGCTGCACAATAGTCATACATCAGAAAACAGTCTTATGTTGATGACTGAGCCACTGAAAATAAGCCTTTTCGTGACTAATTTATTTTAGAAAGGGAGACAATACTATTTATGTCACGTAAATGACTTAGAGAAAGAATGCAAAAGGCACTGGACATTTACAAATTCATTATGATAATGGAAATCTTGAATAGCTTGTAAGAGAGTTCTGCAAGTTCCACTATTATGTTCGGCATGATGATAAACTTCATAACAATTTCTTGCTCATTTCTTTCCTCATTTTTCATTAAATCCATCACATACAGATGCAGTACCAAACCATTAAGATGCAACGCAATTCAAATTATTTTACAGAGAACCAAAGTTGCTTAATTTATACCTTTTATCACTGTAAGAGAACTAGATGTACTGGATTCTTAAGCTATTGAATCAATCTCTAGAACTCTGTCTCCAAAATAGATTGCTCAATTAAAAAAACCTTACCTTTCTTAGAAAAAAAAAAGGAGTCTCTGTTCTTGTAAGAATCTAATTTTAATTCCTGCTAGAAACCATAAATTCTAAGCAATCACAGTGTACAACACAAAGACTCCAAGTAAAGATGTTTCTGATATAATAGGTAATTTTCAGTTCCAAGTATTTATTTACTGGAGAATGCACAGCAACCTGAATTGATGCATCATGAACACATCAAGCAGTTTCTGTAGCTTCTATTTCCTCCCTCACCCCCTCAAACAGCAAACCAAGACTTGATCAAACATGTAAAACATATCCCACTCTGAATATATTCAGCCCGAAGGAAAAGGCACAGTGTTAAATTACCTTAAATTCAGTTTCAATGTTGGCTAGTCTGGCCAATTCATTACTTAGCTCTAAAGCAGTAAGGACAGGATCTTCACTGGAAAGAGACAAATAAGCAGCACTGGCTAATCCTTTGTAGGCATTCATTCTCGATCGAGAGTGGCTAAAGGAATCTTTCCTCTGCTTCTCAATGCATTCATTGCATTTGCAAAAATAGTCATGCGGCCTCTCAATCCGCGCGCCTTTTAGAAGTAAGATGTGAACAATTTCATACTCCTGGCAGTGGGCAGCAAGTATGATAGGGGTAATGTCATGGGAGAACCGAGTTCCATCTTCATCGTAAGCATAAAAATCATCATCTCTTAGTTCCTGCTCAAGGGGACTGAGTGTGAGACGCTGTCCTTGTGCAAAGGCTGGATGGTTCAATATTGCTTCTACGATGCGCACGTATCCTTTACTGATGGCTAACAAAAGGGCATCTCCAACTCGAGCAAGATTCTCCTTCTTGAGGAGGAGCTCTGTCACTTCCAGATGCTCATTCCCCACAGCTAACTGAAGGGCATTTTGTCCCATATAATCAACACAATTAAAGTTCAAGGTTTTGGATTCCTCCAGCATTTTTCGCACAACAGGAATGTTGCCGTATTCTGCAGAATCAAGAAAGCGTTCCTCTTCTGCAGTCAGGCTGGGGCCTTTCTCATTGAACATGTAGGCAGGGCCCCGGATGGCCTGCCTCCGGCCCTTCTCCCGAAGGGTTGTGTGCCTTCGATGCATGTTTTTATAATTGTTGTTTCTCAACCTGCAGAAAGCCAGAAAAAAAGGTTGGATACATTCTCAAAGAGTCGTCATATCATATAACATGAAATAAAGAGGATTAATTTTCTGAACAACAGAAAACTTCCTTACTGACTTGTACCTCCTTCTGGATTTCAACAAGGATACTCTGCACATCCTTAATTTAAGAAATAACAACAATAGAAAAGGTCTGAACACATTGCTTTCCATTTTTATTGTTCAGAACTTTATTACACAGTATTTAGGATAGATATCCACAACATAATACTTATCTGAATTACTTTTCTTGAGTTTTATCCTTAAGGGCGTGAGCCCTACAGAAACTCAGCAGAACTCCCCATGCCAGTAGACCTTGCATCAGGCCGATAAACGATGTTTCATAAAGTTAAAAACATACTTCTAATTTTAAACACGCAGTAACAAGGATAAATATATTGCATGTTCTGCTAAGTTCAGCTGGTACAAGCAAATGACCTATTCATTCACGTTTTTTTTATGCTACATAACTTCATTTTTCTTTCTCCTGATCTAGAGAAGTTAATGAATGACTGTCTAATTTTTTCACTGAAATGCAGTTGGCAGCTACTCTAAATACAAGTACCCAAATCTAGGGGCCAGTCTTCAAAAATACAAGAATAACGCCTGATTTAGTGCCGTATCACTCCTTAGTAAGCATCTTTCAGAGACCTGCTGCATAAAGACAAGAACACGAGTATCTAACCACAAACAATGGGCAGATCAAAAAGAGTCATTAGTTTTTCCACTAATTATGTGGCTGAAATGTCTTTATTTGGAGTTTTGGGGATAGAGACAAACTATTCTTTTTGTACCTTTCTGAACCCGCAAAGAAAACCGTGCTCTGTACAAGAGAACACAAGAGTGAGTTAGCACAACTTTGTATGAAATTAACTCAAAGCCTAAATCTATCTGTATTTTAAACATTCACACTTTGCATTCAGTGTCATCTTGATGTTGCTCTTATTTTTTGATTTTATTGCAGTAGCATCTCTGCAAAATCATAGTCTCTCTTTTAGAGCGTAAGCACATGGGGTTAATTGACATCCCAAGACCGCAGAATGTGCAGCCTGAATAAAAAGGTAAAAAAACCACTTCTGCCATGAAAAACATTTGCACTCAGTCCAACAGTAAGTCCTAAATCACCTGGGTAAAATTTTCAGGAACCTCTAAGCTGCAGTGGGCAGATGTAACAAATAAGCAGGTGTTAATGCTCAGTGGGTGGGAAAGGTTCATCCTTCCATGCTCCATCTGTTCTCCAAGTCAGTTTTGACCTTCAGTCTATGAAAAGTTAATGTGTTGCTCTAAGAAAATACTACTGGAGTTTGAATGTGCTGTCATAAATGACGACAAGGGAAGGTACCAGGACACAAAGGCGAGTAGATACATTGCCTTCAGTAATGTGTAAGAAAAGAACAGTAGAATCAAGCAAAAAAAACAGGAAAACAGAGTGCCAGGACACAGGAATTCTCAAGGTAGTTTTTCTTATGGACCTGACGTATACATGTACATCTATAGTTTTAGTTCACCCCTTTTTTATTGATCTAGAACAGAAAGCTCCTACTGAAGACTGCACACACACACACACAACACCCCCAGCAATTTGCTTTCATCTCAGAAGCAGTCCCAGTGAGATCAGGATAACTAACATGTGCCCAAAATGAAGTATTTAACCATATGCAAAAGAGCTTGTCTAAACTGGAACTCATGTCCTTGGCTATTCAGGACAGAGTTTAAGTTTTAAGCCTGTACTGAAGTCTTACTGAGTTCAAGTAAGAACCATAGACGCAAATAAATACTTCTGAACTAACTGTGTCTTTGCTAAATTGGGACTTATGGTGCCTAGTGGATGAAGGGAAAGCGGTGGATG